AATACTATAATAATAATTATATATAAAAAATATCACAACATTTCTTATATTTGTTAGGGTATTCAGAGTTCGGCCTAGCTTAGCCTCTCCCCAATTTATGACATGTATTGTATTTAGGAAAACAAGTCAATTGAACATTGACGATATAAGATCCGTATGTTTACTCCCGTGCGCTATAAAATCGATCAGCCCGGTGTATCGAACGGTAGACAGGCTTTATTGTTATTGGCCGAGTATTGTGATACTGATAAGTATGTATAGTGTATAGTAAGTGGCTAGAGTTTCATTGACGGGCGTTCGTAAAAAATTATGTGGCCAGCGAGACAATTAAAAAATTGCCAAAGCTGTCAACGGTTATAAATTCATAAAAGCCCAATATTGGCAATGATTATTGAAGTCAAGGCCAGGAGTGCGACTGGGAGTGGGAGTGGGAATGCCGTGCGCCTTCACGGTACGTGATTGCCCTGCACAAGCATATTAATACGTAATGCAGCCAGAAGAAGTCGACACAGCCCCAGAGATATATGGGAGGCTAATGCTCGGCCAAGGGTCGCAGCTCCATAGCTTAATGTCATAACTGAAGTTTCAAGCCCGAAAAAGTTTGCACTAAACGGACGGCCGCACAGGACTGGGAAATTTGAAAAATATGAGAGGCGGGTGGGGCGTGGGGAGAGGGGAGTGCGTAGGTGACCCTTTTGGAGACACGTATGGACGTGTGAGCATGCATGCGAATGGAACAGTTGATGCGGCGACTGAGGGATTCGGCATGGACAGCTTTAGTTTATGCCAACCTGTTTGTTGGCTCTTGTTGTTGTTATTGTTATTGTTTATGGTTTTGTTTAATGGCTTTGTGGGTCTTTGGCTCTGTGACGTCGCCAGAGCTGGTCGCAGCGACTTTATCATTGGCGACACCGAAATAGAAATGGCATATGCCTCATCGACAGCGACAGCGACAGCGACGGCGACAGCGGCGAAACCAATTTTAAATATTTAGATAAAACTTGAACGAAAGCGAAAGAACCAAATCAACTGATATGGGCCAAAAACACTTTAGATTAGCGAGCGGCCCCAACGTCGACCTATTTCAAATTTTTTTTTCGAAATATTCGGCACAGTGCCTCGTGTTGGTGCTCGCACTGAAGTTTGGAAACGTGTCGGCCTCGAGGAAATTCTCATTGGTGCTGAAGTGGGTGGGTGTGGGGTGGTGTGGGAAGGCTTTTGTATCTTTGAGTGGAAATGCGAGATGTTGTTGCCATGGCTGCTGCTGCTGCTGCTGCTGTTGTTGCCTCATATCCTGCACTTGATTGGAGGCAGGCAATGCACGACATTGATTGACTCGCCAAAGGGATATAAACAGTCTATCTGTGCCTTTTAAGGCCACTTGTTGACGTCGCCAGGCCACACTCTTCCTCTTCCCTCTCACTCTCTCTCTCACTCTCTCTCTTTCTAGCTGTCTGTTTGTGTTTGCCAGCTCGGATTGTTGGCCAAAAACAAAGGCGTCACAACAAGACACAAACTAGACAGCCAGCATCAACAGCAGCAGAAGCAGCAGCCCCAGTCTCAGGCACGTCGAGACAATGGCCAGTCAATTCCAATGCTACCAGATCGAGCAGCCATCTATATAT